TGCCTACACCAACCTGTCCTAATTGACACGTCATGCAGCACATGGCCGACTGCAATGCTAATGTATTGTTGTAATTCATTTATCTTTGCACATAGTTTTAGGCACTACAATCATAGAAGTTAGATGTTAATGTGTTGTGTGATTGTTCTATTTAGGCGTGTATTCTATCGTATCAATAGTTCACAGGTCTACAGTATGTTTAGAAAACCTAGACATGGACGTCAATTTGAGTGATTTTTCAGTTTCCAAATTAGCATAATCATCATGAATAGCTCAAGACAGTCCACTGCTGGGCTATCCTCATCTGAGAAGGAGGGGTTTGACGTCATCTACATATGAGGGTTTGTCATAATCTTTACGTTTGGCAAGCGGGTTAGAAATCGCATTTTAAAAGGTTTAGATTTATCTAAATGTCCTGCTGTTTGGTGTTAAATATGTGATCTTAAATTGTGTAGCAGTAAATCGAAAATCAGTTAACATACATAGTGTTAATAAAGGCTACAATACAATGAATTGACACACGTATACAGTATATATTGTATGCAATGTAATTCTGTATCCTTATTCATTGGAACACTAGACGATTTAATTTGGCTCAGCTTTTGAATGTAAACTGTCGCTTTGCTTGCTAGTAACTACTGACAGCCATTCTTTAGTAGCTACATTAACATTATAAAATAAACTTTATGGCGATATAATAAAAGCAGTGTTAACGAAGAATCAACTTTACCTTCTTTGGATAAGGTCTCAAATCAATTTAAATTTGTTTACAATTAAGCTCTTTTACGACAATCGTATTCATCATCATCATCATCATCATCAACAGCCTATAAGTGCCCACTGCTGAGCAAAGCCTCTTCTCACACGGAGAAGGTTTGAGCATTAATCACCACGCTTGCTCAATGCGGGTTGGCGATTACAAACCTATAATTAGAAATTATAAGCCCAGGTTTCCTCACGATGTTTTCTTTCACCGTTTGTCAGTGGTGTTTAGATGATCTTGGAAAGTGCATATAACTCGAAAAACTCACATGGGTACTTGCCGTTGGTAGGTTTCGAACCTGTACCCTCATGCATGAGAAGCGGGCGTCTTAAACCTCGGAGGCCGCCACGACAGTTATTCATCATTGTCATCATATTAAACGTTATCGTTTACTGCTGAATCATAGTCCTCATTCAACGATTTCCAAATCGTGTCGGTTAGAAGCAATCTGCGTCTATCTAACTTCAAAATTCAATTCAATTCATAAAAATAATTCAACGGAACTATCAAAAATACCGTCCTTCATGTTAATCCTCTGAATTCTTATTCAGTGAACACTGCTGCAAAATTTCCGGCATTAAACAACCGCTTGTACATCGCGAATACATTCAGAAATCGATTTTCGCGTTGGGAAGCCATAGAGTCTATTGGATTATACGCGAGGCCATACTAGTCTCACCAGTGGACTGACACAACTGTTTATTTGCAACATTGCAATCACATAACAGTTACGTACGTCAAAAGAGTAATTGAAGAAGAAAATTATAAAAATCGTTTGGAAAATCGACAAAATTGTGGCTTGTTCTATGGAATTTTCAATCTTTAAACCCTTGTATATAATCATTTAAACACAATTATGGATGGTTTCACCAATCACCCCTAACTTACTTAGCGTGAGGAAGTACCTAATCCTAAACTACAACACCTTACTTGTACTGTTAGAGATTACTGCTAGGTGTCATTTTCTTTATAGGTTAGCGATAACAAAAATGTTGTTAAATGTGATGAGGGTTCCTTAAAATTAAGGATATGTTTTAGGTAAAACGGGCATTATTGTCCTATTTTCATAACAGTCTTGATGAAGGTATCACAAACAAGGAAATCAGTAATACATCACTGCTAGCTAGGTCATATACATCTAACCAGTCCTCGCCCACAGCCAGTACACCTGGGCAGCAGGTTGCACTGTAGCCTTCGTCATCAATGAATATGCAAACCGATCATAATAATGTTAGAGATAATGAGAAACGCGGAACAGAATGGCAAGCGATGCAAAATGATGTGGGCTGTTTAGCGGGAGAAACATTAATAGCTGTCCATTTGTTTGTTAATATGTTAAATGTTTGTGTTGACAAATCATCTGTATCAACTTTTTAGCGAGCAGTTTGATACATTTTTGACTGCCTAGGCCTTTTTAAGTGAAATGGAATAATAACTTCACCCACAATCAATCAAACTTGTATCTCCAACACAAGCTAAAAACAAACATAACTTCTACAAGATACATCTAAAGTATTCATTGCGTATTGACACATATTAATTTGAGTACGTTGTCTGGTATCCATCAAGTTGAAGAAGCCATTTATCGCCCATCCGGACTTGTTTCAGGGTCTAATGGTCAAGATAACAGGTCTGACGGTGTTTAGCGGCAACGGTACACGATGCCTGATGATAAGGTATGGTATTCGACCAGATTGCTAACTAGGAACATGGATAAAAACCTGCGCCTCTTGCTGTACCATCCTTGATCGTTTTTGTGGCGCGAATATTTTGAATTGGCGGGAGTTTTGTTTTTAGAACGGCTTAGATTTTATTTAGATTCTCAATTTATGGTTGTTTTGACTGCCAGTATTCATTTTTGTAAGTCCTCTGACCAAAGAGTTTTCGAAAACGAGAATACTTATTGCTGTAGAATTGTGGATACTATTTGTTATTATTGTCCAACTTAAACGTATTCATAATTTAAGTATATTATGTTTCGGTGTCACGGAACAGTTAGGACCGAGGAAAATTAAAATAAATGAAGGGATTACTGTTTATTTGAGTTATTCGCTTTAATGCTAGTGCTTACGAGATATGGCCGCTATTGCTTTAACCGGGTTTCTATTTATTGATTTTAAGCAATTTGCATGAAAACAACTAGCTGGACTAACGACGTGTGTTTTCTTTAGAACTAGTTAACATAATATCTGCGTTAAATGAGTTTTAGAGGCTCTATTTGGGTTTCAGTTTTCGTTAAAGATGTAAGTACGTCCCTTATAAAATTGTTAACAGTAAATCAGGTGACGATTACCCCGAAAATGAAAATGTGCCCGGTATATGGCAATAGGCTCACCCCCTATTACATGGGACTCATAACATAAATAGTGAAAAGTGGTTGTTACTTCTGTGTGCACCTCTGCCTACCCCTTCGGGGATAGAAGGCGTGATGTTATGTTATGTTAAATCAGGTGACGATTAGCCTTGATGATCAGAAAGTTACAAAACTGAATTCGATTTTTGATAACAGTTTCAATACTTATAGTAATAATACTTTCTGTTGACTTAGCGTCACCTTCATCCACTAGAATACAAGTAAAGGTACGACCGATATTATTGAATAATGCACCCAGTGTTTACATTTGTGTGTCATACCATTTAACTACAGAGACAAACCAATTCGTATTTCAATAATACAGCACAGGCAATAACTATCCGCTTTCTACACGCATACTGATTAAACAGCTGTAAATCCCTTTTAATGTCACAAAGTCCATTACTAGTGACACCATCCGATACCAGACAATCAATTACTCCGGCCTATAGAGGCAAGTACGAGAACAAATAAATACTACTTACTTTAAACACTTGAATATCATTAATTTTCCTACTTTCCCCGTGAAAGACATTAACGACTTCCTTCTATTTTAGCTTGGGATGCATTGCAAATCTTCGGCCCATTCACATGATAACGAGGCTGGAGGTGCGAACAGCGCGTGCGCCTACGAATACATTACCCGACGCGGCCGGCCGCCTGGCCCCCTTACCCCGAACTAGCTGAAATATCTACGCAGCTCGACAAACTGATTCCGTTGTTCCACATCCAGATTACTTTATAGAGTCGACACTAAGCATTCCACTACGATTGCCTGATAAACATCAACTTAGTTATCGGTTCGCGAGATGTCAACCACAAAATAGGGTGCATAAGCCAATACTCGTCCAACGAATTTTACTCTCAGGATTTTACGCCGTAAATGGCAAGTTGTTGCGTTTCAAGCTGGAGACGGAGAAAGCCTTCCTAGTCTTCCTGTGTTCATTGTTCCTGCTTGGTTTACATTACGCATCAAGTTTTTGTCCCGCTCCCACAGCACGGCGGCCATCTATATACGGCACGTATTAAAATTCATGTACTCACTTGAAATTGCAACGACGCCAATTATTATGAATATTTATGAGTGCCGGAGAAAAATGTGAAAGATTTGATACTGATAAAGCGAGGTGCCGATGAAACCGAGTCTCGTGCGGTCCGGCTCGGCTCCGGTTACCGGTTTGGCGATGTTTGTTTTTGTTAAATCGCTAATATTATATGCGAATGAATTTATTATTGACAAAAACCGAGGCGCAGCGTACAGCTTGTGTCGGCATAATTATTGGAATTCATTTTTTATTGGTTTGTAAGAGTTTACATATTTATAATTCAAGCAGTGTTATTTTAGCGCCGCGATGTATTAAAAATCTTAACATTCCTTGACCATTAAGCACTATCTCTGTAAATGGAAAATGACGAATAGCCGTTATAATAGCAATACAATACAATTTTCTACACGAATCAAAACCAAATTGGTCTTTTATCAGCGGATGAGTCGTCAGTATTTCAAGCAACAAGTCAATTATAGGCCGCGCTACCCTATCGGTTTCAATGCGACCATTTAAGGTGTTACACTCTGAATTTGTACTACCGATAGATTAGTTCGCACAAGAACTCAGGCATTTGATAGTTAGTCTATATAAAAGTACAAGGAAACGATTACAACTTCCTTTTTAGTCGATTCGTGGGTAAAAAGTCGATGCGATGGTGTCGATAACAAGGTGCTACCATATTTGATCGATGAAAGTTATTTTTGCTGCACCCTCATAGTCCTGTGGTAGTCGGTTGACTGTCGTTAGTTCGAACTTGGGTATGAAGTGTGAACATTAGATTTTAAATTTATTACTCAGAATGATAGTTTCTTGGTATATGAAATGAAGTACTTACGTGTTCGTCCAATGAGTATGTTAGCTCCCCATCGTCATATAGGACGAACCACCTCCGCTGCCATCTCTGTAACAAATAAAAAGATTTGTTATATATAAAAAGACATTTAGTATGAAAAAGGTTCTAATCTAATGCAGACGACAGGAACTCAACTGCCATATTTAAAAAAATGCTGGCTGCAGAGTCATACGATATCTTAAATTGTTCATAATTTTAAAAAAACTACATTTTTTAGAACTGGCAACAATAACATTCTAAATTCAAATTTTCAAACGGCTCATAATTCGTTGAGACGCGTTAACTGTCAAATGACATTTATAGTTGAAGATTAGCACAATCAAATTGACAAACAATTTAGTCCTAGATAATGAAGTAAGATATTGTATCGCCTAGCACCTACATTTAACAATTAATGCTAGCCCAATTAACCTATTAGCTTAACTGATGCCTGTAACAACGTACCCCTGACTCAGATATCTAATGCCTTGGTGTTTGGTTGAGTGAGTCAGTTGATAGGGTTGCCGCTCAGCCGTGACGGGTGTCAGGTTCAGGGTTGATGGCAGTAGGGTAGTTCAAGCAAACATCAATGGATATGACAAAGTACTGATTAAAAAACTTGTGTTCAATATTATGAAAATAGACCACACCATATTTTAAAATGAAAATAATGAGGTTTTATTCAACAAGATGAATATCGTTGATTTTGCCATTTGGTGTTTTAAAACACCAAAATTCGTTCTAAGGCATAAGAAAAATATTAATATTGTTTCTAAATTTGCATTTGCAGTACAAAGTCTACTGTGTTTATTGCACAGTGACCACTTATTATTACTAAATGGATTTAATTTAGAAAATAATTTTCTTCTAGTAACCCTGAAAACAAGCCACGATGATACCGTAATGTCAGAAATCTTGTTAAACAAAAACCCTTTCATTTCGTGTAGTAAAATGTCAAGTAGGTACCATAGTATCAGAGGGCGATCAACATAATTAGGGCCTAGCTCTCTGCCACACCTCGGAACATGAAACGATGCAAAGATATCACACCATTCAGCCTACGTGACAGTTCGCACGATTTGTTTTATGCCCCGACCGATAATTGGGTGATTTACCTTAAATGTAGAGTTGCCATTTGTAAAAAAATTTAATCATTACGCGGGTATTTATTTCTTTGTCAATATTTAAGTTTTATTTTTTGGGTCTAAAAATATCCACTATTTAATTAACATTTCATTACAAAAATTTCATATTTTATAGGGATAATAAACTTCAAAATGGTAGCTCGAAATCGGTCCAAAATTGCAAAGGTTACACTATTATTCTATACCATATTCCATTCATATTCATGACAAATAGCATCCAATCGGTTAAGCATTACTTGAGTGACAGATTGACAAACATAGTCATCAGAAACTTTCGCCTGTACTAATAAGTACAAGTGACGTAACGTATGGGACAAATAATGATCGTGCAATAAGCCAAGCCGTGAGAAATATACAAAGAAAACAAACAATTTAATTGTTCCCAATTAAGTCGAACAAGGTAAGTAATTGGTAGGAGATATGTTCGTCTTTTGCAACCATTATGTGTGTCGGTAACTTTATGGTACAGCTCTTTCTTATTAAGTTATAAAAAAGTAAGTATGATTAATTGTAAACTTTGATAGACTTACATAAGACCAAGAACACGCCAAATAATTATATATTTTTCGTCTAACAGTACCTAATAATATACGTCTTTGGCAAAGAGTGTGCATTAGTCTTAGGAAGGCAGTATTGTGTGATAGTAATCAATTTACAAGAAGAAACGTTTACACACAAGTTACATCACAACATATATTTTCCTGAAGGGTATAACCTGGCTGTCTTCAAGGCGTGAGTGAATAGGTTGCTTATGCGTCAAAGTACTCCACCGTAGACGGCATCATCGCTTACCACCAGTCGAGATAGTGGTCAAACGTCGGCCCATCAAATATAAAAAAGAAAATCGGATGACACTCAAGAGTCACTTAAACACTAGACACAAAAGGTGGACAAAACTACCTACAGGAACCTACCCAATTACATCACTAAAGATTACTATTACTAATAATAAGAAACACAAACTATAGGAGCATAATATATCACTCCGACCTCCATAGAGGGACCACTTAATTTGTAAATCAAATAAGCTCAACAATAACTTAACGTCTCTACACTGTAGGTGGATATAAATAAGGTTCAAACGCTGTACTAATTATGAATGAAGTGCTAACTGGCATTAACACACTGCTAGCATTAACTGTAATAGATAGGAACCTAGAAACTACATAGATTTGAGCTAAATAGAAACAGTATAGACTTCAATCAGGTTGATGATTTTACAATTGCCTTAATTCCTAAATTAGACATACATGGCTTTAATATCAGACAAAAACGTCCTTCCTCTCTCGTACCAATTTTAAATTTCGCTGCGCCCAACAGGGCCCGTGATTGTTACTATTGTATTTTCTAATCACCTGTATGTGTATGTACATATGGATGCAATAAATAATTGATTAAGTACTTGAATAATAAAATTAGAAATACACAAAAAAGACCAGTTGCGATCTAAGTCCGATTTTGTTTCTTCATATTTTAGAGGACCATCTGAATGACTATGGTGAGCTAAAAACAATCCATATTATGATAAATGTTTCATCTTTTGAAGAAAAGACTAGCTTCGATAACAATTACAATTATCTAAAAACGCGAAGAAAAATTAGGTTTCATTCTTAGGTCAAGTAACATTTTATAACATACACAGATAATAATTTAATACTTAAGTATTAGGTCTGAATTCATGCAATAAAAGCTAATAAATCCTACTTGAACAAAAATGGTTAGCCTAAGCATAGATTTTCTTCTCTGAGACATTTGTGCTACATCTCCTAAGGTCCTACTGACCCCAAAAAGGTTTCATATCAGTTATGAATCAACGCTCATTACAGACGATACCTTCAAGTTGTGAGTGTGGAAAGTGGGATAGACAGGGCTTGTTATGAGAGAACACACTTGTTAGATACGTTAGTAGGATTTGAGTGGCGTTGTCTAGACTTTGATGGTTATTGTCTTAAAACATGAACTGACTGCCTCGTTGGCCGAGTGGTCGTAAGTGCGACTGCCGGGCAAGGGGTCTCGGGTTCGATACGCGGGTCGGGCAAAGTATTACTGGGTTTTTAAATATTCTCAGTAGTAGCACGGAGTCTGGAACTGTGCCCGGTATATGGCAATAGGCTCACTATTACATGGACTTATAACATAAATAGTGAAAAGTGGGTGTTACATTGTACAGTGGCAAAATGTGCACCTCTGCCTACCCCTTCGAGGATAAAAGGCTTGATGTTATGTTATGTTAGTTTTGCTGAGCTAAATGAACATCTAGTGTATATCTAGTACATTATCTACAGACTACAGTCGTGTCCACAAACCCAAGATCTACAAAGTTATAGTAAAACAAACAAGCGACATCCTTATACCGTTAAGTTCAAATTCTAGAGCATTACAACTTTATCGGGAACATCTTGTTATACAAATACCTAGATAGGAACCGAACCTGCAACAAGGTCTTAACCTCAAAAATAATCGCGCGGCAATCGGTTATGGATCAGAAACGCTCATTATTCGCAATGGTACTTACTACTTAGCTGCGCAAGCGCATGCGACTATGCGGCAAGTGTCATTGGAAAGCGGACCGAGGGATAAATAGGGCTTGTTATATTGACTAGTGAGATTTAGGATTTAGTTGGATTTTGGAATTTTTGTTGAGAAGTTTGTAAATACTATTTTTTTGATTTTTGGGTGGTTGTGGCGGATTGGTCCCGTAAAAAGTTAATTATTAAAAAAAATCGTGGCTTTTCTTGACAATACTGCTAAACATAAGTTTTATCCTTTCTTATTTATATTATCTAGTTTAGTTAGTTCCGTTATCATGAAAATACAGTAGCTACTTCGAGGAATTCAAATCGATAGCAAATCGAAAATTAAATACCTATGTATAATTTCGCCGTCATAGCTTATACTTACGGACGTCCTGACAGTCATCACTATTTATTCATTTAAATAATACTATCTTAAAGCCCAGCTAGCCATGTGGCTTCACCTCACGTAGGTACCAAGCTCAGCGCTCGCGGAGGACAATCGTCAACAATCGCGTTCTACCCTACGGGGAAAGTCGGTCGGCTAGCTAATGGCACTGGGCTGGGCTGATACAAGTCGATAAGATTGCCATTATCTACCGCTGCCGTGTGCTGGAGGTGTTAACATTAACCGAGGACAATTGGGGCGGCGACCTTACCGTACGGTAGTTCGCATTAAAAACACAGAACAAAATAATCATAATAAAGAATGTTTATAAAAACAAAACATTACATTACATCTGCAACGCAACGACGATAAATCGTTAAGATAAAGAATTCAAATCAGCAACTGTCATCATTAATTTATTTACAATAGCAACCCCGAGAATGCCTTTCTATCAAATGCGTTCAAATTGAATGTTTGGAACGCACGCATCGGATATCAACCAATTGGATCACTTCGCGCCGCGGCAAAGTCCGATCAGAACATATGATTGCGCTATCAAAATCCTTCTAATGAAGCATTCAACATTACTGGCTGAACATATTAAGCCATTTCCGCCGGTTGCTTTGATTTTTTTCTAGTAGCAACATCTTTCAATTAGCGGCAGTGATTTGGTATAATTTGTGCACATATTTAATCTCATTTGATCACATTGAGCATCTAAAGAATGATTTTTACTATTTTTTATTGTAGCAAAAGCCACAAGGATTGGTATTTTAATTTATTATTAAATAGTGGTCTAATACATTTGGATTCTCATGATTGATTGTATTATTACAGTTACTCGAGTGTTATAATGTGAAATGCATCGAGAGAGATTTTAATTAAATAGAATATGATCGCCTTTTACACCGGCAATAAATAGCTCTAGCAGGCTATTACAAAATCTTTAATTGTTAATCGTAATTGAAATAATTATTTTACGACCGGTAAGACGTAACATAAGTTGTAAGACTTTATAAATAA